CCTTTGGACTTCCTGCCGCAGATCTGTCATTTCCAGTTGAAGCTGTTCCAGTTCCTCACCGTCGGTGCAGCTGACAGAGTCAAAAGTCTGGAACACATTGGTGCACACGGTGAGTGAGTTCGGCTTATCTTTCACCATGAGCATGTGGTTACAACGCATGAATACTTTTGACATACCCCGACCAATCATTATTCAAAATAATTTTCAGACAGTTTGTGTTCTTACAAAATGACATAAGTGTCACAATAAATAATCTAATTGTGGTTTTGTATTCCATAGGAATTCAGGCTCCACGCCATGAGACAGCTGGAACAATGGTTAATTCTCACTGTGTTACTGAAGTGACAATAGCTGGAATGGATTCACCATGGCTAATTTTCCTTCTGTATCACCATCAAAGTGACATAAGATGGCCCCTTTAAGCAATGAAATATCTTGAATGGCTTTACTGTGGTAATTTTTTCTTTTGTATGGCTAGAAAATTGACATCAGCAGCTTTCTTCAAACCATTACATAGGGTTTTTTTTTATTCATTAAGCATGGGAAGTCAGGTCTTTTATGGGATTTCCTTTAAGCTTTATGATTAAGGGATGAAATTCTAGCCTCTCTTTTCTATAACTAAAGTATAAGTGAAAGATAGCCCATTAGTCTTTGCCTTCTCTGCCTTTTGGAGAAAGATAGCACTGTCGCTGTTTTCTTCTACAGTTTACAGCTATCATCCAGACCAAGAATCCAGGATACAGCTACTTGGTCCCAAATCATCTTATGGTATATACCTTTCTCTTACATCAGCTCACAGAAAGACCCAGAAGGTCTTTGAGCTGAGAGGAGCTTTGGAACCAAGGCAGGGTGCAGTAGGCTAGGAAGAAAAGCAAGAAACAGTATTTGGCTAAGGCTGACCAGAGAGTGAAAAGCAGATGTATCCAATAAACTGGCCACTTCGTGCTGAGTGAATAGCACAGAACTGGCATCAAGGCCAGCCTCCTCCAGCTCATCTTGCAGCAGATCCCTGAGTGCTTGAAGAAAATCTATGAGAGAAAAAGAGAGAGAGTAGTCACAGTATGAGGAGAGAGCGCCTGGAACTGAGTTTACACAGCCAACTTTCACAGAAACCACAGATTATCCAGGAGAAGGTAATACATTTCATTTCCATCACTACAAACATTATAGCAAACCCAACCACCTCCAGCAGAGAGAAGGTTCTCTATCCCATCCCAAATCTCTGTATGTTGAATACAGGGTCAGTATGCAGTATGCTTTTGCTAGCCATAGTTTAGAGACCTCTATCCAATTTTCTAGAAAGCATTGCTTAGGATTTAAAAAAAAAACCCCACAACTACCACCTAGCATTTTCATCAGAGAAATTACTTGGAAGCAATGCTGCACTTCAGTGCAGAGACAAAGGAGTTATGTGACCAAACCTTAGAGGGCAGCAATTTCCTGCCAGCCCACATAAAGCAGGTTTGTCATTCTGTTTTTGCAGCTTCCTTTTGCCATTGCTGGTGAGCAGGCTGAAGGTTTGAGGAGAAGGGGCCTGTGCACTCCCTCTCTGTTACTCCCATTTTTACACGTGGACCAGTCAGAGACCTTTTCCTTGTGTGACCAGTTACTGAATAAATTGCATCTGAACTAAAACCTGTCTGGGCACTGAACCATAGGGTTAGAAGGGACTGCAAGGGTCATCTAGTCTAACTTCCTGCCAAGATACAGGATTTGTTGTGTCTGTTTCTTTATTCTAGCTGTCACCTCCCAGGTGGCATGTCTCACGTCCCAGAGCAGTCAATGGCGTTATACCAGGGATGAAATGCACCTTCTGTCTCATATTGCACATAGCAGCACCCTGCTCACCTCCATAGGCCACTGTTCCCTGCGAATCTGTGATCAGACTCTGCCGTAATTGCTTCTTCTTCTCCTCGGTCACATCCAGACCCAGATATTGCAGCACCTTTAAACAGAAGCAACAAGTCCACAGAATAATCCCCACAGGAATGCAAGTTTTCTGGAAGGAGTTGGGGGGAGGGCAGTCTGAGCTGGATTTATCATCAAGTTCATCATCATTCACACCGTAAACATGACTCTTCATGGAGCAGGTCTGGCCTAGGTCTCCATGTCACCTCCTCACCTAGATCTGGAACCATGTTGCATCTCTTCTGATCTCTTCCCATGAGCACTTCATACAGAGTATGGGACAGATCTTCAGCTGATGTAAACTGTTCTTGCTCCAGTGAAACCAATGGACAATTTCCACCAGCTGAGGCTGTGCTGCTAAGAGTTCAGCTTCCTTTCAGTTCCCATTTATGCTCGCTCT